GAGTATAATGATTTTGTTTAAATGCATGCATATATGTGAAGAATATATGGGAATAGAATGGGTTTATTGTCCATAATAACGATATTATAAGAAGTACTATTATCAGTACTACACGAACCACTTAGGTTGCTGTGAAACATTAAAGTTTCAAGAATGAGAGCAGCAAGCTGAACCAGATCCACACCAATTAGAATGGTACCCATCGTGGTAACCATAAGATTGTCAAACAATTCTCTAAGAATGACGCTATGTTTCTCAATTAAATTTGAGAAAAACTAGGTCATATGACACGAAAGTGTTAGAGCAAGATTAACATAGTATTGTGTTAACTTGATTAAAGAAGAGGATTTGACAATAATAGTCGCTTAGGTGATGACAGAGGTTAGCCTTAGTGGTAACTCTGGAGAATGGTTGTTGGATACTAGCGTCCCAAGGCACGTCTGTGATAGACGATCTAAGATGGATTCTTTTTTGGGACGTGTGTGTCCTTGTAAAGAATTAGAATATCTAAAGTCACATTCCCATATTATTCTCGAACGCTTGAGATAAATAAAAAAAATTTGTATTCAAGCAAAATGACCCATAAAATAAGTGGTTAGAGAATCAGACTCAATAGATCTGATTTATGCTGATATGGGTAAACTTGATGGAAAAGACAATAAATGATTTATTGCTCTTTAGAGTGCTCTGATTGTCTAACTAGTTATTCGAAATAGTCTGTAATGCCTAGTTGCATTATGATTGCACTGATTATTCGATATGTGGCATGCATGTGGTAGCGTTAGAGAATCAGTGATATAAGAGCATATGAGTGTGTAGGTTATTGTAAAACACATAAGCCTATGAAACGAAATACTCATTAGTTTGTGAAAACCAATGATGCCAATAGATTCCATTTATATTAAGAAATAGTGGGGGTGATATCCTGCCTACTATTAGAAATACTGGATAACTAGTGGGGGTGATGAATCTGAGTATGAACTCAGAAGAGACAAATGAACCATAAATCACGAAAGAATTTTGGTTATGAATTTGTTATTTACACCCTAAGAAAGAAAGATCCTACAAGTCTGCTAGAAGTTCGAACTTTCATAAAGATGCAGAATTGTGTGAGAATCCATTATTAACGAAATGGAATTATTGGAGTCTAATAAGACTTAAAATCTTGTAGAGTTGCCTCTTGGTTGTAAAGCCTTGGGTAATATATCGATGGAATCGAACAAGATTTAATATCTATGAGAATTACCTCTTGGCAATGAAGCCATGGGTGATAAATGGATTTCTAAAATAAAAACTGAAACATTATGGTTTAGTTTATGAGTATAATGATCGCCTAGTAGCTAATGCTCTAGGCGAAGAGGAAAAATTATAGATTTCTTTGATATCTACATGGGACAAACAAAAGGATTGTTATTCATGAACATGCTTCTGGAGTCTATGGTTAGACAAATCATGATAGGATTTGAAACAGACTCACAAACAGTGGCATGAACAATCGAGCTCTCTCTCATGGTTTTAAAATGAAAGTGACAAGTGCATTTAGTACAAATTTGAGAATGACATTTGCATTATGAATGACACTTCGATCTTTGGTACAAAGACTCGTGATGTCAATATTATGAAAAAGCATGTTGTTTGAGAATTATGAAGGTAAAAAGATCTGGATGAAGCATGTGTTATGCTCGGAGATCCAGATTATTAGGACAATGAATGTTTGATGGTGCTAGTATAATTTTTAAGAGCACCAAAGACGGTGTAAGAAAGTAAGTACATTCTAGCATCGACAGTCTGCGAGAGGCAGCTGATAAACATGAGACTCGACATAGTGGGGGTACTTGGCAGGCTTACTGATTGTCCTAGTATGAAGCATTGAAATGCTATTGAAAGGGGTCATGAGACACCTTAAAAGAACAGAAAACCTTGGTATTTTTATAAAAGGTTTTGCTATATTGGTAGGGTATAGTGATGTGGATTAGAATACCCTATAGAGGACTCCAAGAAAACAAGAGGCTGTGTTTTAAACATCGATAGAGAAGCTATGTCTTGGAAGTCTAAGTAAACGATCATGGCTCAATCAACTAAGAAATCAGAAATGATAGAACTAGCAATGGCTAGTAAAGAGAAAAGTTGATTGAGAGGATCATTACTAGAGATTCCCTTATGGGAAAGACCGATCCCTCCGGTAGATGATTCATTGTGATAGCATCGCAGCTATTACCAAAGAAGGGAACCGGTTCTAGAACGAAAAGAGACGACAAATTCGTCGTAAGCACAGTACTGTAAGAGAACTCCTAAGGAAAGGAGCAACGAGGGTGAATCCTGTAAGGTCCTAACAGAATCTAGTTGATCCTTTGACGAAAGGATTATCTAGAGAGAAAGTCCAAAATACCGCCAATGGTATGAGACTTATGCCTACCGAACCACGGACTACAAGTGATGGTAACCCGACCCAATAGACTGGAGATCCCAAGAAATGGGTTCAATGGGTAATAACAAGTCATGAGTAGTATGCGAAAAGTTCATGCATAGTGAAGCATGAATCCCAAAGCAATGGAGGTTGAGTTAACAACTCTTAATGAGATCTATACCCTATGTGGGGTGGAGTACTTTACTTTGGGGGTACTCCTGATAGACTCACCTATGTGAATGTGGGAGTGGGGCCGCTCCCTATGGAACTTTGGAGGCACAAAGTTGCTAGAGCGTTCACTAAACCGGGATAACGTGCATGGCCATAAACGCACGGCCTATGAGAGATTATCACTCAATGAAAAGATCCGGTGTGCTACATTGTCTGAAATAGGGTTCAAGACTACGAGTCACCCTTATGAAATCGGAAGTGTAAACACTACGCTAAGGTTCAAATCTTCGCGATACCTTAGCTTATGCTCGATCTTATGGATCTGTTGATGCTCAGAGATAGTTTCAAAACTATTCAAGTGGGGGATGGTTGGGAATGAATAGCTTTGAAAGCTATATTAAATTAATTATCCTAATACGCCCCTGGGGATGTATTTTTATCAAAGTAACGCAGCAACGACTCAATCGAAGAATCGATTGAGCTCGAATCAAGAACGAAGCGCTCTTAATACGAACTTGGGATAAAACGGAACCAAAAGGACAAATCCACACCTGGGGATAGCTCGATTGGTATAAAAGGGTAGTTGCTCGACCACGATTGAAGTGACTATTCAATCGATACACAAGCTCAGCAAGTTTGGAATCCACCAAACCCAAAACAAGTCGCAACTTGCACAAACCAAACGGTTTCTTTTCGATTAATCAACTCCAAATTTTACAACGTAATTAGAACGATATTTAAAGGCAAATAAAACCTAATACAATCCTAATAGAACTAGCAAACAATTAAGGTAAAATTCTACACTAAAAAGGACACAAAATTCGGGTTTAAACTCCCTTTCTTGAAGCACAAGCAAGCTGCCAGCAAGCAGTCAAAAGACAGCTTTCGTACTAACTTCACGCCTTTCGTTCGAGGCCTTCCCGAACTCCAATCCTTCATCCCATTCCTTCCCTTTGTTCAAAAACATACCTAGTTTCATGTTGTGGAAGCCTTTTGACTTGAATCCCATCCATGCTCCTTGAATTGAGCTCCAAAGTAGGCTTCACAAAACAGTTTTCTGCCTTAGTCATTTTCTGGCAGTTTTCCAGTTTTGAGGTAGCAACTTTGAGGCCTTGGAAAACAACCTTAATGACATTATCTGGATTCACAAAGCATACCATTGGAAACATGGTAACTTTATCTGTAAAACAAACCCTTAAACTTGAATTTCCACCAAGCCAATTGAGAGAACCATGCCTCCAAAGTATGTACCCTGAACACGGATTTTGACTTAGCCAAATTCTGCCTTTCTTCTTCCCTATTTCAATAGCTTCTTCGTCAAGTAATTTAAACGTGTATAATTGACTATTTGCAATGCAGTCAAAATCGCGCTTTAAAACTTAAAAACTTACGGTTTTACGCTTCTAGGACACCAATACGCTTTCGTTTCCATATAAAATCTTAAGTGTATAAAATCGGAACTAAAATGCGCTTTAAAGCTTAAAAACTTACGCTTTTACGCTTCTGGTTCACTAAAACGCTTTACGCTTTTACGCTTCTAGTTCACTAAATGAGTATTCTATTCATGAAAATACTTATATTTTAAAGGTAAATCACAAAAAATATGATATATTTGAGATTAAAAGATACATATCAAGTACTTGGGTGCATTCTTAGTTTCAATAGAGTAATCTAATTCACCAGCTATGCCCTTCCCAAATTCAGTAGCATAGAGGGGAATGTAGCTTATTGTTAAGATATATGTTTATGAACTTATTGTTAAATAGTTATGAGTTTCTCAACTTTAGACATGAATTACAAGTATTTATTAACTTATCTAAACTATGTCCACTCATATTTTATCGTACTTAACACATATTTCATTATATTAAAGTATGCGTCAAAAACTTACGTTTTTACGCTTTGATTCTACGCTTTACGATTTTACCCATTTTCCGCTTCTAGATACAATCGCGTTTTTGACTGCATTGACTATTTGGGATCATATCATATCCTGTATTCTTTCTAGATACGAAAATAGGAAGGATAATTAATAAAAAGAATATTATGGAGATAATTAGGATTAATTATCTTAATATAATATATTTTAATTATGGAAGTAATTATCTTCCTAATTAAAATGTGGCTTATTCCCAAAAAAAGAGGGAATATTCTAGGTTTTCTGCTCCTATAAATAGCAGACCCCTAGACCTTCTAAATACACCCTCAGAGAGCAGAAACACGAGAAAGAGAGTGAGTTCATAGAGCTCCGGTTTTCGCACAAAGCCGATGAGCAACAAAATTAGAGTGGTTGTTTTATCCTGAATGCGACCGGCTGATAGTCTGTCGTGCGCAATGAAGGCAGTGTCGCGAACGTCTTAAAGAGAGCGACCTAGTCCGCGACTCAGCCAGATCGGTAACCCTAATTTTTCATGTTCGATTTCTAACAGTATCCTGTGACAGATGTAGGTCGGAAGGCATAAGTTGGTATAACGGGAGGACCTGGGACCACTTGTCTGTATCCGAACTGTCTGAGACATCGTGTAGGATCGTAAAACTCGGTCACATCACCAAATCGGATCACACCACGGTATAAAGATCGTGGCACCACCTGGCCAGGGTTGTGACCATAGGGGAGCCACATCACCTAATTTTGGTCAAATTGTCCAACACTCGACGATAGTAGCTCAGCCGCTCACCAGCTGCTATCTGTTGAAAGGTAATTTGCAATTACCTATGGTAAAGAAACATGATTAATGATGCAACCCACAATGTCTCATGCAAGACAAAAATAATAAAGTCAAATAAATGGATGGGGCATGGCTTGGTTGAGAACTCATATCCATGTCAATTCCATCTGTTAGAAAGAAGAAGCCAAAATCAAAATAATGCAAGAGACAAGGAGATTAATGTTTGGAGTAATGAGTAGGCCAATTGAATTAAGTGATATTTCCATCTACCACAAGTGCTAACGTGCATGGAGAAAGAAATGGAGCCAATAGCATTATTAGTTTGTTCTTCCATTGTAATATAAATGTGTATGTATGGGTTTGCAAGAGTGTGTGAGAGAGTATGGACAAGAGACATAATAATAGAAAAGAAAGAGGTGTTTGCCGTGTGTATGTATGTAACAAGCAAGAGCCAAAGTTAAGGCCTTGTTTGGTTGAGTGTGTTTTCTAAATTGAGTGATTAAACACCATATGTTTCCTTTGTGTTGATCCTAAATTACTACTACTTCCGCTAATACCCAACAAATTTGGTATCAGAGCTAATACCCTTTTATCCTCTCAAAAATCCCTACTTTCTAGCCTACACAAATTTTCTCCAAAAGCCATGGCAACAAATTCATCACACACCATGTTTGCTACCTCATCAAATCAAATTCCCATTTTCGATGGAGAATTGTACTAGTACTAGAGTGCCCAAATGGAGCCTATTTTCATCTCTCAAGATCTTTGGGATATCGTCCAAGAAGGCTACGAAGATCCACAAGACGAGGATGAAGATTCCAAGAAACGAGCAGGCAAACAGACAAAGGAGTACAAGGAGAATGCCAAGCAAAATGCCAGCGCCTTGAGAATAATTCAGCAAGCAGTGAGCAAATCGATTTACCCAAGAATCTATAGCATCAAAAAGGCAAAAGAAGCTTGGGATGTCTTGCGTGAATAATTTCAAGGTTCTGAAAAGGCAATCTCTATCAGGCGCCAAAGTTTATGGCGACAGTTCGACAACTTGATGATGAAGGAAACCGACACCATCAAAGACTTCCATTCACGTGTGGCGGAGACAGTCAACCAGATCAAAGCCACCGGTGACGTCATGGAAGAGAGGAAGGTCGTGGAGAGAATTCTCCGGAGCCTATCATCAAAGTTCGAGCATATTGTTGTTGTCATTGAAGAAACCAAAGATTTGGCAAATTTATCAATGAGCGAGTTGATGGGCTCACTTGTAGCACATGAGCAAAGAATGAGCTGATTCACCAAACCGCTATTGGGGAAAGCTTTCTCGTCAAAAGTCAACATGACGGAAAGTAAATATGCCAAATCGGAGCAAGGACAGAGAGGGGGGAACTCACAAGGAAGAGGAAGAGGAAGATCCAATTACAGAGGAAACAACAGACAAAATTATCAACAACAAAGATCGGGCTACACCGGCTCGAGTTGCATAATTTGCAAAAAAAAGGCGGGTCATGCAACAAAAGACTGCAGATTCAAGTGCACCAAGTGCAGAATTCAAAACCACTCCCAGAGAGATTGCTAGTTCCAGAACAAGCAAGAAGAAGGAGAGTCAAGCGGCACCAAAAATGAAGAAAGCAATATGGTGGCCTTGTCATGCTTAAATGGTGAGCAAAAATCACAGCTTCCCTGGATGGTGGATAGTGGTTGCAGTAACCACATGACTGGAGATCTTGAGTCCTTCATCGACATCGATGACCAATACCGCTCTCAAGTCAAATTGGGAGACGGGAAGAAGCTAAAAGTAGAAGGAAAATGCACAGTTGTTGTATGCACAGAAGAAGGTAACAAAACTCTCATCCGAGACGTTTTGTATGTTCCGGAGCTAACTCTCAATCTACTTAGCGTGGGACAACTGATGCTGAAAAATTACAAGCTATTGTTTGATAATGGCGTGTGCGAGATTATCAACAAAGCAGACAATTTCATGGTGGCCAAAGTCCCGATGACTTCCAACAGAATTTTCTCTCTTGCTATGTCACAAAATGGTGAAGTAGCATTCAAGAGTGAAAATCTGGATCAATCCTGCCTATGGCATCTCAGATATGGTCATCTCAACTTCAAAGGTCTCAAATTATTGAGGCGGAAAAATATGGTGGTGGGACTTCCCCATATCAACAGAGAAGACAAGATCTGCGAAGGATGCATTTATGGCAAAATGCATCGTTTACCATTTCCAAAAACATCTTGGAGAGAAAAAGCGCCACTGGAGTTGGTACATGCAAACATATGCGGTCCAACCAGAACACAATCACTCGGCGGTAAAAGATATTTTCTACTATTTGTAGATGATTTCACCAGAATGATGTGGGTATTCTTTCTGGAGCAAAAGTCAGAAGCTTTTCCCAAATTCCTTCAATTCCAAGCAGTAGCTGAGAAGGAAAGTGGCCATCAAATCAAAACTCTCCGTACAGATTGTGGAGGAGAATTTATTTATACTCCGTCCATGGAGTATTGCCGCAACAACGGGATAAAAAGGCAGCTGACGGTCTGTTACACACCACAACAAAATGGTGTGGCAGAACGGAAAAATCGCACGATTGTGGAGATGGCGAGAAGTATGCTCCAAGCAAAGAAGCTTCCCAACAACTTGTGGGCAGAAGCGGTCAATACAACAATTTACATCCTCAACAGATCACCAACCAAAGCAGTTCGGAACAAGACACCGATACATGCGTGGCACCACAGGAGGCCACAGGTGGATCACCTCAAAGTCTTTGGGTGCATAGCTTATGCACATATTTCTACCCCAAACCGAGACAAGTTTGACCAGAAGGGAGAGTAGCTGATCTTCACCGGCTACAGTGATGAATCCAAAGGCTATCGTCTTTACAATCCAGTAAAGAACGAGGTGGTAGTTTCCCGAGATGTGATCTTTGATGAGATGGCGGAGTGGAATTGGGAAAATCCAATTTCTCAATCTCCACCAAGTTATGAAATTCTGGAGGATTCAGCAACTCCAGAAGACCCCAGCAATGACCCAGATCCAGTTGCAAGTCCAAAAAGAAATTCAGCACATAGCCCAGAAGAAGACGACTTCAGAGATGTCGTAACAGACTCGGATTCACCTCCGTTAAAAACAAGGTCTTTGCGAGAAATATATGAAATAAGTCATGTTGCATATTTTTCTTGTGAACCTCAAGTCTTTGAAGAAGCATCCAAAGAAGAAGTTTGGAACGAGGAAATGGATGCAGAAATTTCCATGATCGAGAAAAACAAGACATGGGAGCTTGTTGATCAAAAGGAGGGCAAGCCGGTTATAGGTATCAAATGGATCTATAAGATCATATTCAATGAAGATGGTTCTATCCATAAGTACAAAGCTCGACTGGTGGCAAAGGGCTATTCACAACAGCCCGGTATTGATTTTCACGAGACATATGCACCAGTAGCGAGGATGGAGACCATCAGAACAGTTCTCGCTCTAGCTGCTCAACTGGAGTTACCAGTATACCAGTTGGATGTCAAATCAGCATTTCTGAATGGAGAACTGGAAGAAGAAGTCTATGTGGAACAACCACGAGGCTATGAGAAAAAAGGAGAAGAAGACAAAGTCTATCGTCTCCGAAAGGCTTTATACGGGCTGAAGCAAGCACCGAGAGCCTGGAACAGAAGAATTGATCGATATTTTCAGCAAAACGGATTTCAAAGAAGTCCGAGTGAAGCATCTCTCTACATCAAAAAGGGGGAAGACAAAGATTTTCTAATGGTTTGTTTGTATGTTGATGACTTGATTTACACAGGAACAAGTCAGCTGATGATTGAAGAATTCAAAAGTACCATGATGAAAGAATTCGACATGACGGACTTGGGACTCATGAAATATTTTCTTGGGATTCAAGTGAAGCAGTCACCTGGAGAAATATTTATTTCACAGGAGAAGTACACCGAAGATACGCTAAAAAGATTTCACATGGCAACGTGCAAACCAATCTCAACACCAATGGCGTTGAACAAGAAATTGCAATGATGGAGCTGAAAAAGTCGATGGAAAGTTGTACAGAAGTCTTGTCGGGTCACTCATTTACCTGACACATACCAGGCCAGATATATATCTTTCAGTAAGTCTTATATCAAGATTTATGAATGAACCTAGCAAATTTCATTTTGCAGCAGCCAAAAGAATTTTGCGGTATCTTCAAGGTACAAAGAAATTTGGCCTGATGTACAAGAAAGAAGAAGAAAGCAAACTGACTGGATATACCGATAGTGACTGGGCAGGATCACTAGATGATCAAAAAAGCACATCGGGGTACATATTTTGCTTGGGTTCAAAACCCATTTCCTGGAGTTCAAAGAAGCAGAAGACTGTGGCATTATCCTCAGCGGAAGCAGAATATATCGCAGCTACATATGCAGCATGCAAAGCGGTATGGCTAAAAAGATTAATTTCTGATTTGCAGCAAAGTGAAAATGGTCCAACCATTATTCACTGTGACAACATGTCAGCCATAGCCAAAAATCCGGTATTTCACGCAAGATCGAAGCATATCGAGTTGCGTCATCATTTCATCTGAGACCTCGTCAATGAAGGACTAATCGTGATGGAATTTATCAACACTGAGGACCAGCCAGCAGATATCATGACAAAGGCGGTTACCCGTGAGAAATTCGAGAAGTTCAAGGAGCTACTCCAAATTGCAAATTAAGAGGGGGTGTTGAAAGGTAATTTGCAATTACCTATGGTAAAGAAACATGATTAATGATGCAACCCACAATGTCTCATGCAAGACAAAAATAATGAAGTCAAATAAATGGATGGGGCATGGCTTGGTTGAGAACTCATATCCATGTCAATTCCATCTGTTAGAAAGAAGAAGCCAAAATCAAAATAATGCAAGAGACAAGGAGATTAATGCTTGGAGTAATGAGTAGGCCAATTGAATTAAGTGATGTTTCCATCTACCACAAGTGGTAACGTGCATGGAGAAAGAAATGGAGCCAATAGCATTATTAGTTTGTTCTTCCATTGTAATATAAATGTGTATGTATGGGTTTGCAAGAGTGTGTGAGAGAGTATGGGCAAGAGACATAATAATAGCAAAGAAAGAGGTCTCTGCCGTGTGTATGTATGTAACAAGCAAGAGCCAAAAGTTAAGGCCTTGTTTGGTTGAGTGTGTTTTCTAAATTGAGTGATTAAACACCATATGTTTACTTTGTGTTGATCCTAAATCATATCACATTTCCTCTAATCCTCAACACTATCTCCCCTACTCCTAAATGTACACCATGCCACTTCAGAGCATGAGGCTCACCCCTCTCTCAATGTATGAGGCTCACGTCTATGTTGGACGAATAAAAGGAAATCAGAATTCAGAATTGCTTGATCAAAGAATATCCTTATCAATCCAGAGCCAATTCAAAGATATGGACGAAATCGGTGGGGAAAAATTATTGGCACAAGAATGGAAGCTTGCAATTTCTAAATAGCTAGAAATGGAAAGCTTGACAGCTAATTCAAAGTGCCTTTCCTTATGAAGAAGAGCAGCAGCAACGGCTTGCATCAAGGGATAATATATATGTGCACTTTGGGGTCCTCTTCGGCGTAACTTTGTGGAAAAGCGGTATAGGGCTTTTGGGCAAAGAGGATCAATCGTGGTAGAGGAATAGGGTCTATCATATTGACGGCTGTAACGGATCTGGAATTGGGATCCGGGTTTCGATCTATATTTCTTTGTTCGCATCATTTCAATTTCTCGAGTATGTTTATGTCTTGTGTCTTTGATCGATTGTTTGATAGGGAAAACTAAATAAAAAAGGAGTCTTCTAGAAATCCGTGGGTACTGATTCTATGACGAGTACTGACCCGGTAGATTGGGGAACCTCTCTTAAAAACTCGGTGTTCGCGCTCTGTTCTTGCACTCTGTTTTTACATTTCATTATGTTTGAACTGGGTTCCAAAGCTTTTCTGGTTTCAGTACCTTAAGGAAGAAGAAGCTTGGTTCAAGCTCTTGTGACTCTTTCGTATTATACAAAAGCAAGCCCAGCCAAGTTTTTCATTACATCTAAATCTTTTGGGCTTTAAGCCCACATTAGTCTAAGAAGAAAGACGAGCTACACTCCTCCCTTTGTTTTCTTCGTCTTCCTTCTTTCTCTTTCGTACTCTCCGACCAAAATCCCTAATTCACATTCAGTGTACCCGACCGAACTTTTCAATTGGTATCAGAGCCTCACCTTGAGAGAGCTCACTACTGACAAGGGTAACAATCCATGGCTACATCATCTTCGTTTTCGTTTGGTTCTATTCCATGGTTTACAGGTTCCAACTACACGGCATGGAAAAGACGGATGCAGAACTTTCTCCGGGGAATCGATGAAGGTCTGTGGTCCATTGTCCGTGATGGGCCAATTGAAATGAATCCCGAAGCGCACAATACATGGACGGCCGAACAGAGGAAAAGCGCACAGCTCAATTGCAGGCCAATGCACATCTTCCTTTCTACGATAACGATCAGAGGCGTCAACAACCTACGTCCAACAAACTGTAATCTGCTTTACTCTTCTATCCGTCATATTTACGATAAACATACATATATTGTAATTTTTTCTAAGGCAAAATACACTTGTATAGCCAAAACTTTCGAGCTTGTGCCAATAATAGCAAAATTTGGAGAAATACCACTTATAGCCAGCTTTTAAACTTATTGTAGGATAAATATAGCCAATGCCGTTAGATACTTTAACGGTGTTAATAACACCGTCAACTTCTTTGACAGTTTGCTGACTAGACACCAACTCAACGGACACGTCAGCGCCAAATAAGCCAAAAGTGACACGTCATATATTAAAATTATTTAATATTTACACATCATCAATTAATAAAAAAATTAATTTATTTTCCCCACCCTCATATTTCTCCAACCGTTCTCCTTCATTTTACTTCCCACTAATTGAAAAAAAAAAAGATAAAATATACATAAACATTGCTCTCTCCCTCTCTCACCGATCTGCTCACATCCACCATTTTAGATCTGCTCCCGAAATGAGTTTCTCAGCAACCAGCCATCATTCCTCATCCCGGGTGATGCACTTACCCCAATTCAAGATGAGGCAAATTCTTATTATGGTCAAATCCTTCCTTCTGGATGCTGAGATTTGACCCAAATCAAAGAGATTCGACGATGAACAACCCGTAAGGCAACAAAGGAGAAGCTGGGAGAGTAGACAGTCAAGATCTGCGTTTGCTGGCCGTGATGCAATCTGCAGCGGTGAAGCTGTGTCTACTCGTTCGGCGCCCGGCGTTAATTGCACTTTTCCGGTGCCTTCATGGATTCTTCAACCTCTCCACCTCTTGCATCTTCTTCAATCCCGGCATGGCAGGGGAGACGCGCGGCGCCGAAAATCCTCCGATGGGTCTTCGAGCCTCGTAGACATAGAGAGCAATGGCGAGGTGTAGAGTTTTGGGTGGGGATTTATTTAGGGGAGGGGATTTATTTATGGGGGGGCGCCATGCTTAGTGGGTGAGAAGAAGGGTCTGACGGAGAGGGTAGGTGAAGGAATTTGAAAGAGAGAAGAAGAGTCTGGGTAGGCGGAGGGATTGGGGAGTCTGGGTAGGTTTTGAAAGATGATGGGCAATGGAGAATGGGGACGGCGGAGAGGGTAGGTCTAGGGATTTGGAGTCTTTTTATTAAATTGGTTTTCTTTTAATTAATTTTGTTTTCATTAATTAATTTTTTATTTTCATTAAATTTTATTTTTATTTAATTTTTATTAATCTACTTGGCATTGTTGGTGATGAAACGTTGCCTAATCAGAATTTATGTTAGTCTAGTCAGCCTGTTAGATGACACAGTTAAAGTATTGGACGGAAGTGGTTATAAGTAGGGGTGGGCATTGGGTGGGTCGGGTGGATTTTGACCATAAAATGCACCCACCCGCACTTAAATGGATTGATAAAATTTAACCCACCACCCACCCACATTTAGTCTCGGGTTGGGTCGGGCGGATGGTGGATGATGCGGGTGGGTTTGTGGGTTCACCCACATCACAATGTATATAATATAAAGGAGTCAACTTGACATGATAATAGGTGAAGAGAATCATCGAGGTAAACAAGGAGTTGAAATAGGGTGAAAAATGTCGAATTAGTTCTTAAATTGGATAGAAATTCTATTATGAAAGAGTTTTCTACATATTGAGACGATTATTAGGTGCAAGGAACTAAGGAAAATAATTCCACAAAGGAAAGAGCGGTGATCTAGGCACAAGAATTAGAGGAAAAGGTAAAGGTAAGAAGAGGGGATCTCTATTTGGAAGGTTGACTTTGAGTTTCAAACTCCAGGAGCAATCCGAGTTTATATCTAACGTCTCCACTCTCCTCTCTCTAGCGCAAACGACTTTGATCTTTTTGCTGTTGGGTTGAGCGGGTCACCCGCACACTCACCCACAACCCACCCACCACCCGGCGGATGGCTCCCAGCGCAACCCGTCACCCACCCATAGACCCACCCACTTAACGAAATTCGGGTCAAATGCGGGTGGGTCGGTCCAAACCCGCGGATGATCCGCCCGCATGCCCAGCCCTAGTTATAAGTGGTATTTCTTCAGATTTGGCTATTATTGGTAAAAGTGCGAAAGTTTTGGCTACACAAGTGTATTTTGCCTTTTTCTAATAACTAAAATTAACAGAAAAACATTACCAAATTTTGATAGATGAGTTTAGAGAATGAATTGTGTTATTTTAAAATTGGGTTATAGCCTTATAGGTATAATTGTATAGCCAAATAATTTAAATAATTTCACTTTGAAGAGACCCAGAGAAATAAAACAAGAGACAAAACTGACATTTTCGCTCCCATTTGTCGATGTCGGGTCGTGTAAATCTCGGTTCAACCATGATTGACGATTTTATCAATGAAAATCTTAACAGAATGGCATGTTTGAAAATTGAAATCCTTCCTTCATGAAAAAAAACGAAATGAATGATTTGGGGTCACGAATTTGAGAATGTCATCAATATAAATTCAAGCAGGAAAATAAAAAGAACAAAACATTTATGTCTACCCCCGCCATAGCTGGAGTGAGATTCTTATGTTCCATACAGCTTCAACTTGGACGAATCGAGTAGGAATCACGGATCTCTCAATGTTAAAAGCATAATAAAGGAGAGGTATGAATAGTCATCAACAGATTAACCCTTTCCCACCATGATAATTCCAACCGAGCAAAGGCAAATGAAGAGAAAAGCTGATGGAAACCACCTTGGGATTCTGTTGTTTGGCAGGTTTGTCCAAGAGCTCACCATTCTTCCTGTTATCAAATGAAAAAAAGAACATCAATACTGGATAGTAAAAGGATTTGTGGCATTTCTCTATGGAGACCCAAATTAGTGAATAATAATGGTGGACTCGCTCATATTTCTCTTGCTTGAAGCTAGTGTGCCCTTGTTTGATCTTCTCCATCTCATAAAACGGCTTAGTTACAGGAGGAGTGATCGAGAGCTCAGCTATCATCCGTTCCGTTCCATTTTGGCTGCTGCAGCCGCCTTGAGCTCTCCTCCTTTCTCACTGCATTACCATATCGAATGTGAAGTACTTAAGTTCATATCTAGCTTTCACATATATTCCATCCAATGACTAATTGGGGGGAAAGAAACTTATTTCAACAGTTCAACTTGTAACAAAAAAAACTGAATCGCTATTCGTCGCTCTAAAATTCAAATTTTATCGCCCTAAAATATAACAAATTGACATATTTACCCCTCAGCCCAATTTCAATTCTAAACCTCGTCAAACAAGATATTGTCCCTTTGTCACCACCCAACCAACATCCGCCGCTGAAAACCCAGCCCCAACCCCTTCTCCGCTGCTGCTGTTTCATTGGAGGACTATGTAGTTCTGGCAAACAAGAAGACAAGTTTGGGGAAAGAGGAAAAGCTTGCAAATTAGTACAGCTGAAAGACGACAACTTCATTAGATGAAACAATCGTATAGATCAAATGTTTGACTACAGAGCATATATTCATTTTTACTAATTTGAGATTAGGGCTACTCGTTGAAAATGGG